ATCACCAAAACCCCAGGTTCCCCACCAAAGTTTGGCTTGTCCGATCGTGTGCGAACACCTCTTGGGTTTGCGTTGGCTTCTCCGGTGTGTCTGCTCGCTTTGGAGAGTCTCGTGGGCTCGTTCAGGACTTCTGCCGGTCCCCTTTCGGATAGCTGTGCTTTCCTGGCTCACAACAATTCAAACCAGGGATGGGTCTAGGGCCCTTCTGTGGGGACCTGTAGGTTTTGAGGGGCCTTTACCCTGAGTGTGACGGTGGTGGTGGTGAGGATTGGCCCCTTTTTTTCCTTACCAGACGCCCCTCCCTTGGTGATCTGACTCTTTCCTTGTCCCCCTGCTTTTTCCAGAACGGCTCTGCCCGCCGAGCGGTGGCCGCCCAGCCTGGCAGGAAAAGGAAATCCAACTGCCTCGGTACAGACGAGGTAAGTCCTTGGGGCTCGGAGCGGCGTCTTGTCTTGTCTTGTCTGTCTGTCTGTCTGCCTCCTGAAGGCACCAGGCTGGAAAGATAGAAAGTGGCTCCTTTCCTGTCCACCCAGAATATCCCACCCACCCCCCATCCTGCTTCTTGCGAACAGGACTCCCAAGACAGCCTGGATGGCATCCCGTCAGCCCCGCGCATGACGGGAAGCCTGGTCTCCGACCGTAGCCATGACGACATCATCACGCGCATGAAGAACATCGAGTGCATTGAGCTCGGCCGGCACCGCCTGAAGCCCTGGTACTTCTCGCCTTACCCCCAGGAGCTCACCACCCTCCCCATCCTTTACCTCTGCGAGTTTTGCCTCAAGTACGTCAAGAGCCTCAAATGTCTGCAGAGGCATCTGGTAAGTGCAGCCTTCCCTCCCCCCCAAAAAATCTTAGCAGGTTCCCCTGAGTCCTGCCTCCTGGCGTATCATTTCTGCAACCCCGAGGGGGTAAATCCTGAGCCTTGGCAGCAAGGCTAGTTAAGTGTCGGGGGAAAGGGATCAAAAGCGCTGCAGGATCGCTTTGATCCCTGCTTCCCCCTCCACTTGCTTTTGTTCTCTCCCCAGCTTACCTCCATGTATAAGATGACCCTCAATTTTTAGTCTAAAGATTTTAGACATAAGTATACTCTTATACACGGAAAAATATGGTAGATAGTAGGAAACCCACCACCACCCACCCACCCCAGCCGCCGTACCACTCCCTCAGGGTTGTACCAGTGTGAAAAACTTTTAAAAGTCCAAACGTTCATGGCCAAATGGGTTTCTCCAGGCCCCTCTTTCTTAGATGTACACCAGGAAAGAGGCCAGCTGCAGTTTGGGCTGTTGTTTTAAAGTTACTGCCGAAGCAGCTACGGGTTGGATAGCATGCCCTGGTTCTTCAAAGCACAGGCCATTGCAGCCGAAGGGTACAACGGTGATCTGCCTTGATAGTAGCATGCCATCCAATCACTTCTGATTTACGGCGGCCTTTTCAGGTTTTCTCGATAGAAATACCAAGAAATGGTTTACTGTTCCCTTCTTCCTGGGATACCTTGAAATGGTGCAGCTGGCCCAAGGCCACCCAGGCTGGCTCTTCCCCCCAGGAAGGCCCAGTGGGGGAATCAAACTCCCAACCTCTGGCTTGCTAAGCTATCCAGCCAGCTTCAATTGCTGGGAAGAAACACAGGCTAAAATCTGATAGCCCTTCTAATCCCATGTTTTCTCCTTTGGGCTCTGACCGTCACAGGTTTGTAGCAGCAGAACTGCTGTGGAATTGAATTTGTCGCTTAAGCTGAAGGACACTGTCCCCCACTACAGTCCGCATCTCCTCCCCCCAAAGCAGAACTTTGGAATAGTTACTTTTTTAGGCTGCATCACCCCCAAATCCCCGAGCCAGCGGGACCTCTGTTTCCAGACTGGGACTGACTCTAGATATAAATCACCAGCCTCTGTATTTTCACCGGCTCCCCCCTCCCATATCCCGTTGACCTGAATCCTAGAACGGCAGAACTTCCATCTGGTCCCGTCTCCCCACCTGAAGGCAGGATCCGTCCTGCCGTTCATAACAAGCAGCCTTTGTACCCCCCCCAAGCGTCAAGCCTGGGTGTCGTGAAAAAGTGTACCCCACTGCGCAGAACGTGTAACCATGGAGGCTGATTCATGTTGTGTTTTAGAGCTTTAAGCAGAGCCGTTTGTGGTTGGGGGGGACTCAAGCCGGCCCTCTTCTTGTCCGCAGACCAAGTGCGACCTTCGGCATCCACCGGGGAACGAAATCTACCGTAAAGGGACCATCTCCTTCTTCGAGATCGATGGGCGGAAGAACAAAGTAAGAGCACTTGCCGGGCGTGGGTGGAGCGACGACATAAACTCACTCAGTTCCGTGATGGGTGTTGGCAGAGTCAGGCTGGGGAGGAATCAAAAAAAGGGCTGCAGGCAGGATTGTCCTTATCTGCCGAGGTGCGACCACAAGAAGACCGGCCACGGTTTCCTGTGCCTTGGCTCACTTTTCCTCAGGAGTCAAGCTGAGAGAGATCTTTCTCAGCTGTACGGCCTGAAATCTCTCGCTGGAGACAGTCCGGAGCAAAGCTGGGACCTTTTCTAGGCAAAGCAGCCTAGGAGGAGCTGTGTTTATGCCAGCTCGCTTCTCGTCAATCGAGCCCAACGCTCTCCGACATCGTTTCCCAGGTTCTCCGGCAGGAAAAGGTCTTTAGACTTTCCTTGTCCTGATTCCAGTGGGCTCAGGGTGTGTCCCCCCACAACGCTTCATCCTCAACCCATTTCTGGGTCAGTCTAAGGGAGGCTGGTCCAAAGACACCCTGAGAATTTCAAGGCGCAGTGAAGAAGACTCAGACCCGAGTTCCCTCAATTCCCAAGGCAGCCGTTCTCAACTCCGACCATCCCCTGGTTCCTTCTCCCCTCTCTGATTCTTCTGATTCGAGATGCGGTCAGAAATGTAACACGGAACCCCCTGAATGATTGAATTCTGGTCCTTCACACATGCACACTTGCTTAGGAATAGAAGTAAACTGTCCAGTGGAATGGAAGGAGACCGTGTATGACGCCTCCTTGCATCCTATAAAAACCTGGATTTTGCAAGCAAAGCGCCATTTGGACCCGGTGGTCCATAGAATTTAAACTACCCAGCTCAGAATCTCTCTGGGAAGCAGGCTGGACGGCAAGGCACCGAGGCATAGCAGAAGTTCACACCGGTGGTAAAATAAACAGGAAACGGCATATCCACCTCTTGGTAGTGAAACGACAAAAGAAATATGAAACTTGCATAAAATAAAATGCACAGGAAAAATAGCATTTCTATGTCCGTCTGGGTTGGCTGGTCAGTCTCTATAGACAATTTTTAAGGGGATTAGCAAAGATTTCTGGCTTCCCATTGTTTAGTAATGGCAGCAATAAATCAATCTCTCTCTCTCTCACACACACACACAGAGAGAGAGAGAGAGAGAGAGAGAGAGAGAGAGAGAGGTAGAGAGAGGCATTATACTGCTGCAGTGGATCTGGGTGCGAAAGAACTGCACCTCCCCTCTGCTCTGATACGCTCAATGTTGGGCTCAGACATCTTTGTTTCTGCATGCAAGACACCCACCTTGGGCTTCTGTGGATTCTAGTAGCGACACCTGCAAATACAAAGCCTTCGCAGCCCTGCTGTGTAAGGAAAAGAGGAAACGGTCATCATCTCGGTCTCCGGTCGGAAAAAGATGGTTCCTTTTTCTTGGCTGAGTCTGGCCCAGCCTTACTTTTTGAACCTCGTGCAGGAAGCCAGATTTAGGCTGAAGATCAGGAAAAAAAAAACTCCTTAACTGTTAGAGCAGTATGAGCATGGATCCCAAGACCTCGGGAGGTGGGTGAGCGCTCCAACACTCTGGAGACCTTCGTTGGTCCACCCTCTGCCGGATCTGCTTAGATTGGGGTTCCTGCACTGAGCAAGGGGGAGTTACACTGATTCAATTATTCTATAATTCTGTGCTGTTGCTGATGATGATAGCTTGGGCACTTCCTGCTCAGGGAAGGTTAACCCTCTCCCGGCCTCTGTTCTCTTCCCCCTTTTCCAGAGCTATTCACAGAACCTCTGCCTGCTGGCAAAGTGTTTCCTGGACCACAAGACCCTCTACTACGACACAGACCCCTTTCTTTTCTACGTCATGACGGAATACGACAGCAAGGGATTCCACATCGTTGGCTACTTCTCTAAGGTGGGCTGCGGAGGCCTCGTTCGGAGCCGCGGCGCTGTTGGGTCGTGCTCCTGCAGGGCTTAAGACTTTCTCATCTTTAATTTCCCCCCCATTCCCCTTCTGCACAGAGCCGGGAATAAAAGGAACCTCCACAATTTAACAGCACACGCTCTCCGGATGTATGGTTTTCTTTTCCTCCTGAGCCCCATAGATTCAAAAGGGTTGAGGGTCTTTCATTGTAATTTCTTGGCAGCAAGAGTTAAAAGTAGGGAGGTGTGAGGGTGGGAGCAGGAGCGTGCATTACTTTGGAATGGCAGGAAAGGGGTTACCTGTATTTTTCTGTGTATAAGGCGCCCCCCACTTTTCTAATCCAAAATTAAGAAATCTAAGTGAGGCTTAGCAAGTGTAGGGGGAAAGGGATCAAAGCGCTGCAGGATCGCTTTGATCCCTGCTTTCCCCTCCACTTGTTTTTGTTCTCTCCTCATCTTACTTCCGTGTATAAAACGACCCTCAATTTTTAGTCTAAAGATTTTAGACATAAGTATAGTCTTATACATGGAAAAATACGGTAATTTCAGAGTGCTGTAGAAATCTGTTTACCTGTCTGTCAGCCCTCCAGCTTCATTCTCCTCTTACTCTTGATATTCCCGCAAGCCTTTACATTTCTGTTTCTGAGATTTGCCTTGCAGCCGTAAGGATTAGAAGCCTCGTTTTCACGTAACTTTGAAAAGCAGGGGCACCTGCTGTTTCCGTGTTTTGACTCAGATCTAAAACGTTAGGCATGCTTGGGATATAACCATCATCGTTTTAGAACGGCAGAGCTGGAAAGGGAGCCTATAGGTCTTCGAGTCCAGACCCAGAGGCCCAGTGGGGGAATCAAACTTCCAATCTCTGGCTCCACAGCCAGAGCGCTAAACGACTGAGTTATCCAGCAGTTTTATGGGATGCTTTCTGAATCGAACAGGGACGTGGTGGCGCTGCGGGCTAAACCGCAGAAGCCTCTGTGCTGCAGGGTCAGAAGACCAAGCAGTCGTAAGATCGAATCCACGCGACGGAGTGAGCACCCATCGCTTGTCCCAGCTCCCGCCAACCTAGCGGTTCGAAAGCATGCAAATGCAAGTAGATCAATAGGGACCACCTCGGTGGGAAGGAAACAGCGTTCCGTGTCTAAGTCGCACTGGCCATGTGACCACGGAAGATTGTCATTGGACAAAAACGCTGGCTCTGTGGCTTGGAAACGGGGATGAGCACAGCCCCCTAGAGTCGGACACGACTGGACAAAAATTGTCAAGGGGAACCTTTACCTTAACCTTTACCTTTACCTTTCTGAATCGGACCGGTGGTACGCAAGCGACATTAAAACTCCAGACTGTTTTGTATAA